CCTGCTGAAGTGTGGGTATCGAGCAGCAGCTTTCCACCTCCCTGCCTCTTGACTGCCCATGTCTTTTAAAAAACAATCTGAAGCCCCCTTTTCAGGTTGGTGATAGCCAGTCACTGATTGCAGAAGTGGTTGGTGAGTGGTGGATGGATGGGCAGGGTGTTATAAATTGCTTTTATAGAAGGGGAAAGGTGAAGAAAACTTGAAATTCAGGTTCTTGTTAACATGACTTAGAGAAATCAGATGTGTTTAGGGAGTTTTTATCTCTTTTTAAGTTTCCTTTAGTCTGACTGGCAGCAAGATAGAAATTGGTGTAAAATGTGTTTACTTCTCATTTAGTTAGGTTTATAGATCAAGGCAGAAAAGCTATCAACTTCTGTATTATATCGTTGTTCATTAATTCGTAATATGTTGGCATTGCATGTGTTGGACCTCAGCACGCATTGAATGTTTGGTACTCTTCATTTCATATTAAAAAAAACAAACAACAAAGCCAAAAAACTCCCCGAAACCACTTCATTTTTAATGGCTGTGGTATACTGGAAAATAGGCATCTGTTGACCTGTCATATGTAAAGTGTTGATGTGTGATATGTAAGTGGCACCAAATCTTCAATGTGTGGTGGTGTATCCACTTACATTCCTTTGGAAATAGCATCCAGTGCTGTTTAGTTCTCTAGTAACAGTCTTTAAAAACTTGGAATACGTTTTATTTTGGAGCCTTCCCTGTCATTTCTGAGGAAACACAAAATATTAGAACAATGTCTTTGAAACAGTATTGCATGTAGCATAGAAAGACCTCTAAAACCTGAGACTCAGAAGCGTCATTAATTTTTCCCTCTCTATTTGATAGTTGTGGCAATAGTTGTAAGTGAAGTATTCAGTGTTACTAGTTAGCATGCGTGCATTATAAAATTAATTCCCATGAAACTGTGTTACTTTTTGACTGGCAATGTTTTGTGATACTGCAGCCTGCCGTGAGAATATTTCTTAGCATTTCTTGGAAGAGCACGACAAAGTTCAAGGATAAATTAAAATTAAAGTACGCAATCCTGTTCACAGTTTTTTCAGTACTGCTTGTGTGTACAAGTTGAACACTGGCCTGTTTTGAGGTGTATCTGTTGTGTTTTTTGTCATAAAATCATGTATTCTCAGTATTATATTCTCATACAGTAATAAATTCAACTGTGGTAAAGTTAAATAACTTCTCAATGAGCCTGGAGTGTCAAACGCTGTAATTGCGGCGTTTCCGTACAATTAATGAGATTATCTTTCGGTTATGAATGATTATGATAAAACTGCACAAAAGGAAAAACAAAATCCCTTAAAACAAACAAACGAGAAACCCGCCTCCTCGCGTGGAAATTATTTTTAAATGTTAATCAGATAAAGGCTTGGATTTTGTAATTGTCAGTGGAAATGACTGGCTTTAGAAGTTGCACCATATTTTATATGCACTTCTCCAGTAATTACCTTAATGCAGAATATTGCTTAAGCCATTGGGCTTAATAGTTTTTCTTAACAGGTGAATGTAATAGGTGGTGTTTGCAGGAACTGTGCAGTGACTTGGAAAATTGCATACTTTAAGAAAAGCCTGACTCGTCCTCTGTTGTCTTTAGGAAAATTATGGTTTTCAATCTTCCTCAGGATTGAGAGGGAGAGAATAAGTGAATGAATTATTGTAGTTTGAGGGAATGTAGTTTTTCTGAGTTTTTCTACAGGAAAATGTCTCTTTTTTTTTTATTGTAGTTTGAGGGAATGTAGTTTTTCTGCAGGAAAATGTCTCTTTTTTTCCTTGATTTTGTAGCTTTTTGATGAGATGTCCCTCACTGACTGAGGTTTGCTTTCTTTTGCCCAGGGGAAGAGTATCAAAGAATTGAATTTGGCGTTAACGAAGTTATCGAGACCCAGTCATCTGTACTAAATAACACCGACTACAGTATTTCCAGTACCCTGAATCCTCAGGCTCCAGAATTCATTCTCAGCTGTGCACCTGCTCAGAAAACCCCTGACGACAGTCTCAGTGAAACAAACTACAACTCCATTGACTGCCAGTTCACCGACCCGACCCTCGCTTTGGACAGCGGCTCCAACGCTGAAAATGATGGCTTGTCTGGAGGCCTTGGGCAAAGGGAGCGTAAAAAGAAGAAAAAAAGACCGCCCGGATACTACAGCTACTTGGAAGACGTCAGCGACGGCATCGCTCCCGCCGAAGCTCTCGTAAACGGCCACGCCAACTCGTCGGGACTGAACAGTATAAGCACGGAGGATACGGAACTGACGGGAGACATAACCTCCCTGGCCACACCAAGGACTTGCAACAGCCCGGACAATTCTGTGGACTTCATTAACGAAGCTGTGTCTGATGATTCTGTTTCTAGCGCACTAGACAATACCAGGACTGCAGGGCAGCCTGAGGTATGCCGTGTTACTAATTCTGAACAGTTTTGCATCCCCTCAGAGACTGGCAGAGATAGCCCCTTAAGGACAGCTGTTGTACAGTCTTATGCTGGTACTGATACTACTGAAAATGTTGGCGTTACTAATGGACAAACACTTGAATCCTCTGGTGAGGACACAGCTGCCAATGGGGTAGAATTGCACACTGTGGAAAGCACTGACTCAGACCAAGCTAAGCCTGAGGAAGCTTCACCTACTACTGAGGCAACAGTCCCGCTTGCAGGATCAGTCCCTGTTAATCAGCCTGCAAAATCGTGGGCTAGTCTTTTTCACAATTCCAAGCCCTCTGCTTCCACATCTGTGGTCTATGTTGAGACTAAATATACCCCTCCTGCCACATCTCCTCTGGTCCCTGAAAAACAGGTTGAAGTCAAAGAGGGACCTGTTCCAGTTTCAGAGGATCCCGTAGCCATAAAGATTGCAGGTATAGTTAACACACACGAGTGGCTCTTACACTGCAAGGGTATTAACTCCGCTTGTAAACAGGAGCGTGCAATATCGATAGAGGAGATTCCTCTGGTAATGTTCTTAATAAGATGGCTGTTCAAACACTGCTGTGAAACATGCGATTTAAATAAGCCAGTGTCGTATCCCCCTGAGTAAACTTCCCATTACCGTGTCATTATCCCAGATGTGGTAAAACGATTGCTGCTTGTCAAACAATGTGTATTTTTAAATAGGCTGGTTGCATTCAGCTGTGTGCTGCTGTAGTAGGCAGAAGGCATTAGAAAAGCTTGCTCTGAAGATGGTGTGTTATTACCCAGTATTTATAATCTTGTCATACGTCGCATTGCAAGAAGAGAAGGGAATTAATATATTTATGCCAAAGTAGCCAAAGCTTCTGGACCCTTACGGTAGCTTAAGCGTAACGTCTAAATAGGTCTTGCTTCAGAAATTCTAGTTCAGGAAATAGTTATTGTATTTATTGATTTGCTGTTTGAGAGATTTATCTTTTGAATTTTGAAGAGTTATCCTTAACCATTATAAAGAATGTTATTACATTGGGAAACAACGCTAACTAATGCCTGTTCAAGAGTAACCGTAAGGAACTGTCCAGAGGGTACACAGGAGAGGCAATGTGTGATACAGAGGCGTTGCCCGTGGGGTCTGTTGTATTCGTGGTTCTAATGAGAAGTGCTAGAATGTGCCAGAGATGGTTTTTGCAGATTCAGTCAGAAAGCGTGAAGAAAAACGCCCAGTTGGTAACGTTTGGTGTCACTGACTCATGAGTGTTGGAACAGAAATAATTACTTGAGATCTGTGAAACAGTCCATATGTGAAAGGGCTTGTGCAAAATCCTGCTATTTATGCTACAAACTGGTTTACAAGTACAGTGGTCTTTCATGTGTGACAGCCCCACGTTAATTTTCTACTTTAACCAGAAGCTGGCTCAGAGATTTCTGTTCAGAATACCCAGAAGCATGCGCCTGCCTCTCGTCCCCTCCTTACCCAGTAATGATTTCATTACTTAAAATGGTCTGTGGAGAGGAAAGCTGTCGGAGTAATTGATACATCTGTGTATTTTTCACTTAGGTGTCACAAATGCAGTTGATTGTATTAAAATAATATGTATAAGCAGGTTTTTATGGTTTGTATGAATCTATACATGTGGAGTATGTTGTACTCTTAAAACCTTAAGCTATGATCTGGTAATGAATTTTAAAGTATTTTTTGACAACTGTAAAGCTAGAAGTGCTTGCCATAGATGAAAAAGGTTGATTGCTTTGTTTGGTTTTTATCTTGTCCAAGTTGCTTCAGCTTTAAGTTAAACTTTCTCAACTTTTACTGTTTCTGTACTATTTTTTGCCACCAGGTGGGAGCAGAGCTTTTTATTTTGTCTTTAATGTATTAAAATAGCAGCGAAATTTTAATAGTTTTCTTCTGCACCTTCACTACGAGCTAGCTGTTCTTGCAGAGGAATAATCTGAGAATTTTGCAGTGTAAAGGAATTAATCCTTCTCATTGTAGCTGATTTAGGTAGGAGTTACATTTGTTACAGCTCCTGCAATTTGGATACTACTGATTTTGGTATAAAACGTTTAATTGAAGACCTGAATGCTGTGTAACCAGTGCTTTGCTCTGTGGAAAAAAGGCGAGTTTCTTCATTGTTCTTACTGTAATGTTCTCTGTCCTGTTTGGGAAATAGGTGCATTAATGCTTTATTCATACACCCACACTCAAAAATAAGTTCAGTGAGTTTCAGTTTATGATTTCCAGCCATCCAGGCATCTGCTCTGTTCCGTACGTAGTTAGTTTAAAATCTGCTGTCTAGGTTGCAGTCATTGTAGAAGGGTATGTAGCAATCCTGTGTGCTTTTTGTAGGTAGCTGGGATTGTGTTCCTTGTTTTCCGAGTTGAGGTCCTGTTGTTGGAGTTGCTGGGAATTCACCAGTTCCAGCCCATGCCAGTGGGAGTGAGTTTTTGAACACAAGTGCCATAGGGTGCTGAACACAGGTAAATTCTAGACCTGGAGTATCTTGGGTTCAGCAAGTAAACTTGGCAGATCATCTGATTTAATTTTTGAGCTCTGAGGCCCCTCTGCACAGTTTTTATTTATACCAGGTGTTTAGGACACAAGAAGTGATTTTTTCCAGGGACAGATTGCTGGCTTGTGCCTTAATTTCACCATTTATTCCAAGGGAGGTTGATGGATCACAGTCACCTTGAAGATGGTTCGGTGCTTCTTGATTCAGATTGCAAAGGTCTGCGTTTCCTTAGTCCTCAAATTTAAATGGAAGCTACACAAGGAGACAAAGATCAGGACTAGAAAATAAATAAAAGACAATTTCTGTGTTAATCTTTGATGAGAAAAAAATACCAGAGAGTTAATTTTAGCAAGAAGAAGAGAAGCTTTACAGGCAATGCTAGTGAAGGAGTTCAAGGAGCTTCTGACCCAAGCTATGAACCACTGATGTTTGACAAAACTGCAGGCAGATGACATCAGAGTGGTGGAGAAGTACAGGTACAGCTCTTGCATGTTTAGAAAGGGACAGCCAGGCTAATTAGTCATTTTAGCCTAATTAGATGCTGGGACAAACGTTTTAATAATTTGTCTCTAGGAGATAATAGTCCATATTTGTCAAAAATGTGGCTCACTTTCAGGCATCCCTTGCCGTGTTTCATAGCTCCTACTCTGGTGCATAAGCTAGTGATAGTTACAACTGCCTTATGTGATGTTGTAAGCAAGCTCGAGAGATGTGAGAGTGGAAAACTGGCTGCTCTCTGAGTGGTCTTAACTGCTCGTTAAGACTTTAGGAAAAATTTCAATGGGAGAATCTAAAAAGCTTTTCTGAGTCCTGTTTTCTTGCAGTGATTTCTTTGTGGGTGATGGAATGAACAGTGCACGTAAAATTTGTTTATAGCAGACAGGATTTTAGATGAATTGAATGCAAACATTTAAGATCTCATGAAATCATTCCATTATAGCAGACAGGATTTTAGATGAATTGAATACAAACATTTAAGATTGGATGAAATCTGGAATGATTTTAAGTTAGAAGGAGAAGAATCCAACAAATGCAAGTATGGAAGGATCCACCAAAACAGCTATCAAATGCAGGCATACAGTACAAAGAACAAATGGTTGGTGATTGTATTGGGGAATTAAAGGATCTGGAAGTTCTGAGTTGATCAGTGTCCCTAGTAAAGCTGAAGATGGCAATTTTTTTAATTTCCAGTATGTGCAATTACCAATTTGTATGGAAGAGGTGGAAGATAACTCTGTGTTGTTGCTGTTGAGGGACTCGCTGAACATACCAGTCTTTGGGTGTTACTCCTCAAGATGATGTAGCACTGCAGCAGAGAGAACAGAAGTAAGATGTGGAAACCATACTCTGTTGGCAGCCATGGGAATTTTGGATTTACTTTGTCGTGGATGAGATTGTTGGAGTGATCATGGATGTAGCTTCACATATTTAAATTCATAAAGAAGATGGTGATTTGCTGCTCTCCCAAGTGAACAAGACAAAAATTAGTTTAAAATGTAACAAAAGTGCTTCAATGTTACACATAAGAAAAATGTTTCTTGCTGCTAAAGCTCCATAAGCACTAAGCAAGTAGATGTGGAATGGAAGTCTGCAAAGTTTGGGGTTTTTTGTGAACAGCTTCGGAAATGCAGCCTGTTGTGGTATCCAGCTGCATTCTTGCAGAAACTGCTTCTCTGTGGGGTTATCCGGCGGCGTTGTCCTGGCCCTTCCTGTCATTGTCCAGATTCAAGAAAGATCTGTGTAGCATACAAAACATTTACCAAATAATCCTCTCAAACTACGCGTTAATTTGCTAACGTTTCACATGTATCTCATCAGCACAGAGACCATAGCCACGTGGTTTCGGTTTCATTTAACTTTGGACTTGCATTGATCAGGGAATTGCTATTTTGGTTTGGTTTTATTTGACAGGTATTTGTAATAACACCACCTGGTGAGTGAACGTCAGCAAAACGTTTTCTCTTTACCAGCAGAAATTTCTAAACATGATAATAGTGTTCTAGGCACCTTTTCAAATCAAGGCCATGTTTCACAATTCAGTGTCCGGCAAAGGGAATGCGAATTCTTTCTGGTTATTGGCGTGTGCTTTATAACAAGTTTTGTGTTTGTAAGAAGGTTTTCTCATGGTTGTAAGTGTATTTTCCTGCTAATGCTCTTGTAAAAGTGCTTTCAGTGAGTGCGTAAATGTTAACGTGACGTGAAAATGTGGTATTGAATGTAGCTGCTGTACACAAAAATAATTGTTAAAAGAAGAAAAACCTCACTGTAATTGCTCAAGACATCGTTTCCGAAGTGGTTTTATGGCCACAAGAGGATGCTAAAGATCCTAATGATATTTTTATTTAGTGCGATACAGAAATAGAGAAAAATACAGTTAAGTATTATAAGTATAATACAGTTATCTAAGTTTTTAGTTAAAAATGATTTTAGTTTTTTTCCTGATTTCCAGCAGTGCTTAGTTACATGAACACAAAGATCGTATGTGTGCACAACGTGCTTCAGACTTTGCTGCACCGACAATATATTCCGAAATACTTGAGCTTTAATGATTAAATAACAAAACATAGTTCAGCACTCGCAGAATAATTTTCATCTGCGTCTGTGCTAGGTGCTAACATCTTCCCTTTTACTGCCTGCCCTTTGCTGTCTGCCCTTTCCGGTGTCAGGCTCTTTATGCCATAGAGGACTGATTCTCTATTTTCGGCATGTTTTTGTGTGGTTAGAACTGGTGGTGTCAGCAGGATATA